AAAACAAGGTTTTGTCTCCCAATAGGAGTGTTCCATAGGGTTAATTACCATAAAAGTGTAACCAAACCAAGAGGGGGTTCATCGCCCACCATACCAAAATGACTATAGAGTCCGTTATGCCAAAGTTCGCAGTGATATAGATCAGTGTTTATTTGAATGGTGAGTCAACGGAGCCCATGGCAGCTATAGGAGGTTTAAGACCTTGGACCCCTAGATAGCTTAAAATAATAAGCATTTTTTTTTTTTAAAGATGACTGGTAAGGGGATTTTAACCCTTGATTTGGTGTTGACAGCACCAGGCTCTCCCAAGTGAGCAAACCGGCCATCCCTATATAGGGATCCGAACCCATGGCCTTGGTGTTATCAGCACCATGCTCTCCCAAGTGAGCCATAGGCTGGCCTAATAATAAGCATTCATAGAGCAAAATCATGAATAGTCCACGAAGTAGTGTGGGAAGCTGATTGGTTCAGGATGAAGTCAGCACAGCTTTTATTATTACTATTACTATTATTATTATTATTACTATTATTATTTTAACATTTACTTGTACATACTTGTGGAGTATAGTGTGTCTTGTTTACAGATTTAAAAAATCTCTTGGGTAGCAGCTCTTGGAAAGAACAGGTGGTTTCAATACATGCATTTACTGCACAATGATTCACTCAGGATAGATAGCATAGTTTTATATCCATTAGTCTATCACTTCTCCTAGTCAGCACAACTGCTCCTGGCATCTTAACTGGTATTGTCCGTGGTACCTTAGGGTCCAGTGTGAACCCACCTCAAAGCTGTCTTGTAGATGCAGGTGGTCTGCAGAAACAATTCAAAATTGACATTACAGTTATCTTAAGCCATAAGGCATTCATTTAGGAAACAAACATCCTGACCATCAAATCAAGTTAGTCTAAGGAACAAACATCCTGACTTTTAAATCTACTCTTCACCTAAGGAAGTTTATGTTTAATCAACTCCACCCTTTATTTTATTGTTAACCATACTTTATTGCTACTCTGAGGAATCCGGCCTATCCTGCTTGATCAAGCAGTTTTTCTTTTGCTTTTCCCCCTTTTCCCAGCCAAGGCCTGTTCTGTCAGGGAACAGCTAGGGGAAATTGTGAGTCTGTCCCCCAGTTTCAAAAGCATGAAATGGTGTCAGCAGAGGCCAGAAGCAACAAATTTTCATTTTAAAGAGACTTTGCCAGTGTATATAAAAGCTGCAAACAAAAATGCAGAATATACAGTGTAGGAAAGTTCAAACTTTCTGAAGATTTGAGTCTAAGTCTGTTGAAATGAATTGATGAAATACAGATTAATAGGAGAAAAACCAAACAAAATTTATTACATGCATAGGAATGGGAGCCGCACACAAAGTCTGAGACTCAAGGAAGGCCAAGATGGCTCAAGTTTTTATATCATCCTGAGGTTATAGAAAAAATAGGGGCTTGAGGCTTCTTGGGAGGGAGGTGGTATCATTGGTTATGGGAGAGTGAGGGAAGAAAAGTATGGCAAGCAAAGTCTGTTTTGTTTTGTAGATTAAAAAGAAAACTCCCAGGTAGCAGCTCTCAGAAAGAATAGATGGTGATCTATGTTAAAAGTTTCTCTGTCAGAGCTTCTTGGGAGGGAGGTGGTATCATTGTTTATGGGAGAGTGAGGGAAGAAAAGTATGGCAAGCAAAGTCTGTTTTGTTTTGTAGATTAAAAAGAAAAATCCCAGGTAGCAGCTCTCAGAAAGAATAGATGGTGATCTATGTTAAAAGTTTCTCTGTCAGACCTTCAAAAGTTTCAGACTTTTAGTCTCCTTTTCCTGTGAGTTAATCTTTCCTAGATTTGGATAAGGTAGATGAAGGGGGCCTCAGAGAAAGCAGGTTTGCATCGGCTGTTCACTTCACTACATGCAAATCTCCCTCACAAAAGACAACTTTTCAGCTACTCCTTTATGTGCAGCCCTCTGAATAGCTACATCAAATATGCTAAGAAGTATATTTTAGGGTAAAATATTCTGGTGTCCTTCAACCATTTCACCATCTCTTGATGGGGAAAAAATGTTTTATTTTGACAGTCGAAAGAAAATGAGGCTGCCTTTTGCAGCCAAACATTCTGGATTCCTTTTGAGGTGATCAGCAATGTCAATGAGAACAGTTTAGAGAAATACAGGCAGCAGAGCTAGGATATCATTGGGAGCAGCAAGTGATGAGACAGCAAATGACAACTTCAGTGTGACTTTTAGCAAGTGACTGAGTTTAAGCTTCATCATCACTGAAACTCATTCATTCATTGAAGGCCTACTATGTGTGGCAACTCTCCTAAGTACCGGAGATAAAGCAGTGAACAAGAAAGAGTGGGGACATGGCAAAGCAAATGCAAAGATCTAAAGCAAAACCAAACTTATTTGTTTGAGGAAAAGAGAAAAGCCCAGTGTAGATGCAAAGTAATGAGTGAGGGTAGGGTGATGTGGGAGTAGATGAGTTAGAGAGCTACATAAAGGCCAGAACATGCAGTTTTAGAGGCAATATCAAGGATGTTGACTTTTATTCTAAGTGAGATGAAATTGATTAAAGGATTTCAAGTAGGGGCATAGCATGATCCAGTTTACATTTTGGTAAGATTGTTTCAGCTGTGGGAGGAATGGACGAAGGATGGGAGAAGTGAGCAGCAGGACAAACTATTAGGAGGAACAGCAGAAGTAGACAGAATAAATGCTGGTGGTTTGTAATGAGATGATAGTAGAAAAGATGGTCAGATAAAGACTATATTTTGTGCATAGAGACAACTGGACTTTCTGATGGGTTGGTTGTAGGTGTGAGGGAAAGAATGGAATCAAGAATGGTTCCTAAGATTTTTATTTGAACTGGATAAATTAAGTCACTCAAGGAAGAGGAAAGACAAAGGAGGTATAAGTTTGGGGATATAGGAATGATAAACCAGAAGCTCTGACTGATGTCAGTTAAATTCCTAAAATCTTTGGGAGGTCTGGAATGGAGTGACAGTCACGTACCCACATCCTGCAACTGTTACCACAAGACTATTTTTAACCTAAAACCAGACTTGCTGACACTGAAAGAAATTGTAAATTAACTCAAAAATGTTGAGAATGTATCTTGTGACCCTTACTCATAAATCTGTACATAAAATATAACTAAGGACCAATCACTATCTATGTAATGCTATGTAACCAATAGAAACACTGATATACTGATTAAGAGGCTGTCTGCTTTTTTCCCCTTTGTTCTTCACTTTTCTGTAATTATAGAAAATGCTAAAGCTCTGACGGCCCTTCAGAAAGCACTTCCCAGGCAACTTGGTGGTGGTTTCCCAGGCTGCAGTCACACGTATTGGTTTAAATAAACTCTCTGATGATTTATTGGTGCCATAGGTTCTTTTTCCAGGTCGACAGGGATTTAAAATCCTGTTTTCATCATAATTTAGAATGCCTATTTGACATCCAGATTTTGAGATGTCAGGTAGGTAGGCAATTGGGTTAAACAAGACTGATGCTCATTGAAGAAAAGTGAGGGCTGGCATATTAATGGAATTTATAGCCAGGGGATTTAATTAGATTTCTTGTGAAGAAAGTGTATTCAAGGGTACTTCAAAAAGTTCATGGAAAGATTTGTAATATCTTTTAACTCTATTTTTCCATGAACCTTTTGAGGTACCATCATATATACAGAAGAATGGAGAGTATCAACCAAAAAGGCTGTAGAAGATGAAATAACTGTAAATGCCTTGCTAATATCTGCTGTCATCAATAGTTAGGACCTGCAGTGCACCTGTCTCCAAGAATTTGGAAATTATAGAAATAATATTGCTACCAAGATTAAACTGTAAAACCAACATGTAATGGGCCACAGCAGAGATATGCAATGACACCTTCCAAAATCTGTGACTTCATTATAATCTGTGTTATGGGCTGAATTTTGTGCCCCCCAAATTCATGTGTTGAAGGCCTAACCCCCAATATTTCAGAATGTAATCACATTTGGAGATAAAGTATTTAAAGAGGTAATTACATTAAAATGAGGTCTTTAGGGTGAACCCTAATCCAATATGACTGCTATCCTTTATAAGAAGAGGCAATTCAGACACAGAATTTTGCACACAGAAGAAAAACCATGTGAAGACAGAGAGAGAAGATAGACATCTGCAATCCAAGGAAAGAGGCCTCAGAGGAATCCAACCTTGCCAGCACCTTGATCGAGGACTTCCAGCCTCCAGAGCTGTGAGAAAATAAATTTCTGTTGTTTAAGCCACCCAGTCTGTGGTATTTGTTACAATAACCCTAACAAACTAATATAATATGATTAAATGTGATAACACAACAAAGTAAAAAAAAGTGTCAATTAGAGGTTTAATCACCTAAGGAAGCATTGAAAAATAAAATACATAAGAGCTTGAAACCAAAAAGGTCAGTTTCAGGACCTCAAATTGGAACAAATGCCAAGTCAAAGGAGTGGTGGATAAATCCTAAATGCAAATATAGAGCAACGGGTGAGTATAGGTGAGGCAAGGTTTCCACTGATATTGTAAATGGTAGATTGAACTTGCCACCAAGCTCGCCACGGGGCCGTCCCTTATCAAATCTTCTTACATGAGAACATGCATGTAATGGATTGTGCCTGCTTGGCTATATAAAAGGTGAGATTTTTGTTCGTTTTTGTAATGTCATTAGCGGATTGCCTGTGGCGCCCGTCCCAGTTTACAGAATAATAAAACTTTTTTTCTTACATTTGTGGAGATTTTCTGAGATGGTAGGAAATTTTATTTTGAGGTTTTCCTCGAAAATAGCAACTTATTTATGTCCCCTACCTTTACTAGCCTCCCCGCGCTCCAGCTTCCAAAGGTTACCTGTTCCTTGTTCACATCGTAGTTTGCTTTGAGAACCCTGTCAGAAACTGCAACCTGTGGGCGGTGAGAACCACAACTCCCAGCATTCCCAGCGCCTCCCGTGGGCTTCCTCTTCCGGTTCGCAGGCTGCTGAAACCCAAAGAACTGCGCTTTAGACGCAGCGTTGAGATTGATTCACCTTAACCTGTGCAGAGCCCCAGCTTCCTCCAAGGAGGAAGCCAGGCAAGCAGTGAAACATGAACGGAAGAGTGGATCATTTGGTCACTGAGGAAGAGATCAGTCTTACCCGAGGCCCTTCAGGTATGTGCGGAACGAGTAGAGTACTTGAGGGTATAATTGCGGAGCAGACACCTCTTCTGCTGAGCCGGATTCACCTGGCCTCGGAGCAGGCGGGCCCCAACGTAGAGTTTTCTTGCAGTGCTTTCGGGCACGCAGATAGAATATATTGGCATCCATTGTTAGCCAAATGCGGGTCTGAGGAATCCGTCTCATAATCCAGTAGGATTACCACGCGTATTTACAGTCAGGAAGGATTTCTTTCTACTAATGGTTCTAGAAAAGCCTAGAAAAAAGCCTGCTTTTAAGCCGGCGTATCGTGGACACCACGCCCTTGTGTTACCTGCTCTATCCCTGCTCCTATAAGGGACCGTTTAGTAACAATGCGAGCATAAACGTTGCAGATTCTGAATGCGTAGCCGTTTTCTTGGTCCTAGGATTCCTTCCTCTCTCTCCTTTCGTTTCTGGGAAATTCATTTACAGTGTCAGCTAGAATGTTAAAGCAGGAAGAGACCATAGAGATCTATTACAGAAGTTCCCAAATTTGGTTCTACCACAAAATTACGCAGGAATTTTTTGGTTTTTGGTGTGTGTGTGTGTGTGTGTGTGTGTGTGTGTGTGTGTGTGTGTAAATTCTTACATCCCATTTCTAGGGATTTGGTTTCAATACAGATTTTTTCTTTTTTTTAAAGCTTCACGTGATTCTGATACAGCCAAATCCTCACTTACCCCCTGCTGTCTTCTTCCCCTCCCCTGACGCTCTTCACTAGACTGGGCTCTTGACATTACTACATACTGCCTTCCTTGGACTTTGTTGCCTTTCCTTTGTAGCTGTTTAGTTTATCGATTAAAAGCTGTAGCTTTCGTAGTGGTTCTCACAGAAATAGAGAATAGAATAATGGTTACCTGAGGCCGGGACTCCACAAAAATATACGAGTAAATGTTTTTTTTTTTTTTAAAGAACTATAGCTTTGGGATGACACTACCTAGTTCCAAATCGTATGTTTAACCGTTTACTAGTTCTTTCATAATTATTGATTGAGTAATTTACCTGATGTAAGACTTAGTTTCTCAGAACTATAGCTTTGGGATGACACTACCTAGTTCCAAATCGTATGTTTAACCATTTACTAGTTCTTTCATAATTATTGATTGAGTAATTTACCTGATGTAAGACTTAGTTTCTCACCTGTAAAATGGGTATGATTATAGAATACACTTCATAGGATCGAGAGAATGAAATTAGTTAATCTATGTAAAATATTTAGAACATTGCCTGACACATGGTAAGCAGTATGTGTTTGCTACTGTTGTGATTGTTAATGCATGAATGATCTAGACTGACACAGTAAATCCTGCTAAATACTGTATTCCAAGAATCTGTAATAAATCATCAAGTACTGTGAGCTGTGTCTCTAAAATATTTTTGTAATCCTTTTACTGTCCCCATCACCACTACCTATAACAGTCCATCACCTTTTCTCCTCTGGAATTTTGCAGTGGCTTAGTCACCACTGATAGATTCTTCTTTATAAAATATGGCATTCAGAAACACCCATATTTTGTGTCTTTGTTCCTGTTATAAAATTGGAAGTTGGTTTTACTTATGGGAGTATAACTTATTGCTGATCTTCGTGGTTTACTGTCATGCTCCTTATGAGCTCCTAAACTTTTGTCAGAGGCTCATTTAGTATGCCCAAGTTTCTTGGATTCATTTTTCCAGTTTCATGTAAATTTCTCCTTCTCTCACTCTTAATATTTATTGACTTTTGAGGCTAATGTGGCAAGTTATTTTTAAAACAAAATCTGTTTTTCTGTACTTTGCACCCATTGCTACTTGTTCTTCTTTTAAGGCCAGTTAAAACAATGCTAGTTTCTTTTCTGATTGCTTTGAAATTATTTAAAGGCATCTAGTTGTTCTGCTCCTGCTTTGCCTCTTCCTTCCTTAGCCTCGATATCCCCAGTTGTTACATTACCTCTCCTGATGTTGTATGAGTTATAATTCTGCCTCTTGCTTAAGAATTTAATGTATTTTGGCATAGTTCTATTGCTGTAGCATCCACAGTATTTCCAGGATTCCTGACTAGAGCAGAGCAGAAAGAACCCTATCTTTCTTGTTCTAGGCACTAAATATCTTTAAAATTCAGTATAATATCACTTTGTCTTTTTTGGCATTTGCATAATAGCATTGCCTAATATTCAGCTTATTTTTGAGCCTGTTGATCTTGCAGACCTAAAGTTCCTAAATTTTTTGGAAACATTGGAATTAGGATAAGCTTCAAGGGACTAATTAAAAAGAATGATTATATCCAGCTAAATATTTCACCCCAAAGTGAATTAGTTTCTGTATTGCTTATATATGTATCAAAAATGAATGAACTTATCCACTCAGTGGCTTCTTGAATTTTCCTAAGCATTTTTGTGCCTTGGTCATATAAGTCAATGAACTTACTGGGAGAGTAGAGCCACAATTTAAGATTGAATTTGGATAAAAACAATCATTTGAAATTTGTTTTGTTTTGTTTTAAATTTTATTTTGTCAGTGTACAATGTGGTCGATTATTGATTGAATTTGGGTAAAAACAATCATTTGAAATTTGTTTGGTTTTGTTTTAAATTTTATTTTGTCAGTGTACAATGTGGTTGATTATTGTGGCCCATTACCGAACCCTCCCTACCTCCTCCCTCTCCCCACTTCCTCCCAACAACCTCATATCTGTTCTATTCCCCGACAAGGAATTGTAATTGCTATGTCGTCTTCCCTCCCCCTCCCAGTTTATTTGTGTGTTTACTTATTTATTTTTAGCTCCTACAAATAAGTAAGAACATGTGATATTTCACTTTCTGTGCCTGACTCATTTCACTTAATATAATTCTCTTTAGGTCCATCCATGTTGTTGCAAATGGCAGTATTTCATTCCTTTTTATAGCTGAGTCGTATTCCATTGTGTAGATATACCACAATTTCCGTATCCACTCATCCGATGATGGACATTTGGGCTGGTTCCAACTCTTGGCTATTGTAAAGAGTGCTGCAATGAACATTGGGGAACAGGTATACCTTTGACTTGATGATTTCCATTCCTTTGGGTATATTCCCAGCAGTGGGATAGCTGGGTCATATGGTAGATCTATCTGCAATTGTTTGAGGAACCTCCATACCATTTACCATAGAGACTGCACCATTTTGGAGTCCCACCAACAATGTGTGAGAGTTCCTTATTCTCCACAACTTTGCCAGCATTTATCATTCACTGTTTTTTGGATATTAGCCATCCTAACTGGGGTGAGATGGTATCTCAGTGTGGTTTTGATTTATGTTTCCCAAATGCTGAGTGATGTTGTGCACTTTTTCATGTGTCTGTTGGCCATTCTCATATCTTCCTTTGAGAAATGCCTATTTAGCTCTTTTGCCCATTTTTTAATTGGGCCACTTCCTCCTTTGATGTAAAGTTGTTTAAGTTCCTTGTATATTCTGGATATTAATCCTTTGTCAGATGTATATTTTGCAAATGTTTTCTCCCACTCTGGTTATCTTTTAACTCTGTTAATTGTTTCTTTTGCTGTGCAGAAGCTTTTTAGTTTGATGTAATCCCATTTGTTTATTTTTCCTTTGGTCGCCTGTGCTTTTGGGGTCATATTCATGAAGTCTGTTCCCAGTCCTGCTTCCTGAAGTGTTTCTCTTATGTTTTCTTTAAGAAGTTTTATTGTTTCAGGCTGTATATTTAATACTTTAATTTATTTTGAGTTCATTTTAGTATATGGTGAGAGGTATGGGTCTAGTTTCATTCTTCTGCATATGGATATCCAGTTATACCCACACCATTTGCTGAAGAGTCAGTCTCTTCCCCAACCAGTTATCCCAGCACCATTTGCTGAAGAGTCAGTCTCTTCCCCAGTGTTTAGGCTTGGTGCCTTTGTCAAAGATCAGTTGGCTGTAGGTGTGTGGGTCGATTCCTGAATTCTCTATTCTATTCCATTGATCAGTGTGTCTGTTTCTATGCTAGTACCATGCTGTTTTGGTTATTATAGCTTTGCAGTATAGTTTAAAGTCAGGTAGTGTTATGCCTCCAGCTTTATTATTATTTTTTTTGCTCAGAATTACTTTGTTCTTTTGCTCTGAATTGCTTTGGCTATGCGTGGTCTTTTGTTATGCCATATAAACGTCTGGATAGTTTTTTCCATTTCTGATAAAAATGTCATTGGAATTTTGATGGGGATTGCATTGAATTTGTATATCACTTTGATTAGTATGGACATTTTCACAATGTTGATTCTTCCAATCAAAGAGCATGGGATATCTTTCCATCTTCTTGTGTCTTCTTTAATTTCGCTCAGAAGTGGTTTGTAGTTCTCATTATAGAGATTTTTCACATCCTTGGTTAACTCTATTCCTAAGTATTTTATTTTTTTGGTGGCTATTGTAAATGGGCATGCTTTCTTGATTTCTCTTTCTGAATGTTCACTATTGGAGAATAGAAATGCTACTGATTTTGCTGAAATCATTTATCAATTCCAAGAGTTTTTTTGTAGAGGCTTTAGGCTGTTTGATATGTAGGATCATGTCATCTGCAGACAGGGACGATTTGACTTCATATTTTCCAGTCTGGATGCCCTTTATTTCCTTCTCTTCTCTGATTGCTCTGGCTAGTACTTCCAACACTTTGTTGAATAGGAGTGGTGAGAGTGGGCATCCTTGTCTAGTTCCTGTTCTTAAGGGAAAAGCTTTCAG